TCTTCCAAGGTAAAGATTTTGTTAATTCGTTCAACGTACAACATGTAATGATCAATTAATTTCAATTCCTTGTTGATTAGGTCTGTTAAAATTTTAGAATCGTTTTCATACAAGTTATTAAATTTATTCTTGTAATCTTCAAATTTTTTTTTAATTTCTCTTGTCCATTCATTATTTAATTAGATTTCATTTAAATATTTCAAGAAATCGAGTTTTTTTTGATGAAATTCTTTTAATTCTTGCTTAAGATCATTTAGAAAGTTTGATTTTAATCTTTCGTGATTTTTATAATCAGGAATCTTGTATTCTTTTAGGTTTTCGATTTCCTTGTTTAATTTAACAAATATTAAAAGATGTTCTAATCGTTCGGTTCGAAGTTGATGAAGTGATTTTTTATTTTTTTCACTTAAACATGAATCTTTATGTTCAATTTTTTTGTAGATTGTGTTATTTGTTTCTAAATCAGATAGAACACATGTTTTAATGATTGAAATTTTAATATTTTTCAATATTTTAATGCTTTGATTCAATCTTGTTTGTTTTTTATTTTCCAATTTTGTCAAAAGGTCATTCGGGAAGTTAGTATCAAAATTTATTTTTTTATTAATATATTTTTTATCTTGCAATATTTCAATCATACAATCTAATGATGATAAGATGTTGTAATACATTTTTAAATATTTCAGTTTGGTTTTTCTGATATTTTGTAAATCATTATATTTAAAATTTAATTTTTCTTTATTTTTTTCGATTATGTTATTATAATATTTATTTTCTTCGAGTACTTGGTATTCATTTCTGAATTAATTGCATTTTTTATCTTGTTAAATAAATTCCAGATTTTATCATAATCGATTTTGGCATATTTTGGTACCACATCAAAATATCCTTTAAAGATCAGATCGATCACGTTATTTGTAAATAGATCTAATGAGGATTCCTGTTTAAATGTAGGTTTATAATAATAATTACAATCGTAAAATATTTTGTTATCATAAATTAATGAAATACAATTATATAAACTCATGTTCCAGAATAGAGATTAATATTATTTTCTATGCACTTTTCTAGATTATTTATATTTTCGACTTCATCCTTGCCATCATCACCTTTCCATTCGTATAATTTTAACATTTTTTTTACAGAAGTATTCATTTTGTCTAATTTATCTTTATATTCAGCACCACTATCTATTTCGTTAAGTAAGGCTTCAAGAACTTCTGCATTTTTAGTAAGAAAACCAGATTGTGTAAATTT